TTGACAATTCAAGGTGCCCGAAGTGAGGTAAGTCCAGATTGGTCAGTAGTTCCACTCTGGCTCTCGAGAAGCTTTTCGGATGATTAACCCACTATTTGGCGTGTGACAAGTTTTGTCAACAGTTTTCCAGTTAAGGGACTCGAATGACACTTTCAGTTCGTAAATTCTGTGAAGCTGCGTGAAAATTACGAACTGCAGTTATCGGTGAACAAGAGCTGAAGAGTTGATAATTCAAGGTGCCCTAACTGGGAAGATGTCGACAAGTTTTCTCACACCAAACAGCAGGTTATTCATCCCAAACATGTTCGAAGGGGTCAGGATGAAGCTCATAGCCAGTCGGCACTCACTTCACCCTCTGATTAATTCAGGCACCTTGAACTGTCAATGCCTCAGCTGCTACTTACATACAGCCACAGCTCGCAATTCGTCGACACTTATCCACATACCCAAATGGATCTTTTTGCAATTCACGGAATTCAATGCTTTTCCACATATTCAGTCAAAACTTTTCAAGGCAATCTGATGTCAGTGATATTGACGGTGTATGCTTTAACTAATTTCGTAAAGATGCATTTTCTCACATGTACAAGACAGAACTTGACAAGCCCTCAATTTCGTTTCAGTGATGCAACTCATCACATAACCATCAATTGTAATGCTTCTTGCTCTCAAAAGTTGTATTCTCGGCTATCGAATGTGTCAAGGCGGTGCGATAGAATTATCTGCAGAATATGCACTCGTTTCCATTTACATTATCCACTGCTACATGAAGGTGTTATCTTCTTCTGCACTTTTTCTGAGAAATTTAGTCATATTGCATAGATATCTAGCAGAATTCAGCATGCTTATGTCACTGTATATAGCAAAGAATAACGCTTTGTCTAGAAACAAAGCATTATTCTTTGTTTTTTACGATGCATGCCTCTAACACAAATGAACAACTTGAACTTTCGGTCGATATACGACCGAAGACGTTTTTTGAAATTCCGAAATTCAGTATTCTGACCGAACCTCAAAATCATTTGATCGGAATCCGACCGAATTTCATCGGATTTCACCGATCGATCTTCGGTCGGTTATCATCGATATTGCGGAATGCAGCAATGAAATTAACTCACCTTCTAGAATTCTTTGTTGTATCGAATCTGTACCAACTCCCCACGATTCGCAAAGATATCGAAGGATATATTTTTGTGACTCAGTCTTTCCTGCACCTGATTCACCAGACACGATGATCGACTGACTTTTACAAAGTCGTTTCATATCGCGGTATGCTTGATCCGCTAGAATTATATCTTCTCAAATTGGTTATCGTTAGGACATAATTTATCAACGAATGAATGATTACTGTGAGTCAGTTAATCTCATAACTTTATCAATGCGAAAGATTTGTAGTATGAATTAGAGATCGTTTACACTGAATGATACCAATGTTCAGTGAATATTTTTCGATTGATTTGGACATTTGTTTCTATTCAAATCAATATCACCTCACTCACCAATCGCAAAAATATGAGGTGGTAATTGCCCGATTGATTTCCCTTGATATTTTTTAATGTTCTTAACATCATACAAACTGTCGATTTGTTCATATGGATTGACTGCAATCAAGATATTCGCAGTGTAAGTCTGAAAATAAGAAAACGCTTCATCCATCCAATGCCAATAACTGACAGTCCTGTACGAAAGATTTGTAGTATGAATTAGAGATCACCAACTTCAAAAATTTCAGTGAAGTGATGTCATACTTGTAATTGTTTGAATTTATAGAATATCCTGTAGCGAAAAAATGCAGATAAAATTAGAAATATCAATACTTCTACAAAAACGACATTGATTTGCTTACATAGATTTGTTTTTTAGCATAACGAATACGACAATTATTAAGAAGAGTTGCTTCGTTCAAATAAAGCAGTGCGCCTGAAAAATAAGGTCGATTTATTCAATTGAGCTTCAGTATTTTAACCTACAATTACGATCAGCTTTCGGGACAGCGTTTTGATATTCATATAGAGCAGAGTAGTGCACGCTTTTTGAAAAGCATATGGCCTCATTGGGCTATATGATTTCGCATGATTCTCTTTAAGGTGGATGAGTCCTTTAATGCTAACGGGGTCTTCAATTTTGCCCAATAAGTCCCTATTTCTATGATCCCAGCGGTAAGTATACCTGTTGTCGAGTTCTTATACTCAGTTTCAGAGTCATTTTCAAATGTCTATTATACAGCTCAACGATTTTATCATGCCGTCTAGCTCTCACTAGATTTGATCGCTCAATGGATTATCAGTGAGTATTTACCAAACTATAGAAATTCATGGAGCACGATCTTGAGGCAGTTCGTGGGCTCAGCTTTGCGCAGCAATCCTACGCTTGGTATAATTAGATAGGCAAGATTCTGAGTTATTCAAAAAATGAATACCGTTGAAATTCGACGTTTCTATTTTGATCTTATAATGACTTGCGAAATTTTTTATACATATGCAAAAATAAGCTTAGAAAATCTGTTTATTTCAGTTCCTTCCTCGGTCGTACCAGTTTTTACGTCCTCACAAGCTATGCCATGCCATCGAATAAGACAACTTCGTTGCAAACCGAATTACTCCCTCATCGAATTACCTATCTGTGTTATAACCTCTCGTACAGCATTGGAATCTACATCAACATTACGATTAAAGTGTCCTACCAACGATTGAAAGATTCAGTCTAAAGACCGCTGAGCTCTGACCACATCCACGCGTATTTTCACCATTCAAACTTGTGCTAGTTTGAATATTTTTCAAATGTGAATCTTAATTCTAACTACTTTTAAGTTTTTCAATTTAATAGTAATTCAATTTAACTCAATTTCGCTCATGTTTCATTCAAATCTAATTTTATCCTACGATTCATTCAATTTTTATGTATAGTCAGCAGCTTTCTGATGGCTGCTTATTTAGATCACGTGATAGTGTCATGAAACTGTTTCGAAAGTTTCATTATTAGTTTAGTGCAGTGGTTCTCACGCTCCAGTGCTCCATTACCTCTTTTGATGATCTGGCACGCCGCTGTTACCCCCTCCCTCTGATACAAGAAATTACTATTTATATGTATAACGTCAGTAACGAACGGAAAACCGATCCGGAAATTTCTCAGCGGCGTGAAAGAAATTAGTGTCCTAGACCGTTGTGTCCTAGACCATTACTGCAATCGATTATGACTGCACGAAAAGCTGCTGTGTTTGACACGCTCACTTCAAACTGATTTAGATGGA